AACCGTAAATTTTAACATTTCATTCGAGTATTTTTTTTTTCAAACCTTATATTTTTGTTAAATTTTATGATAATTTCTTACACTAATTATGTACTAGTATTCGCGTATAAATTCCTTATTTTGACGTCGACTAAATGCACAGGAAATTGATAAATGATTAATTACCCTTAATTCTTATACGATATCTGATATAATTTATTATGCAGCTGGCTGGATTTCCGTGGAATGGGACACAGGAAGGAATTATAGGTACAGGTATGGAGCTGATGGATGCTATGAGATCGTAGTATGTGATGACCCTCGAGAAATAAATGATGGGCTGATATCAGTTGGCTGTTTGGTATCCAGAGGTATTTTTTTGATTGGAATTCTTTATGTTTTTGTATACGAGGCCTATTTCCGATGTCAATTTCTTTAGTATTTATGTTTTATAAAATTTCTTTTAATATGAAGCTTAAATATTTTTTACTTAAATAAAAATAATAATTTTAAAAAAATTAATGACATTTGGGTAAATCATAATTTGAATTGCAAATGTAAAATTTTGTATCTTCTATTATAAATTTTAGATAATGTTTATTTTTAGATTTAGTTAAATTTCGCTAGTTAAAAAACGTAATTGATGGAAAGTAGACGTATTTTTACTGTACCTTTTTGTAGGAATAGACTGGGAATGGGGAGACCAGGATGGAGGGGCAGGCATAATAGGAACTGTTTATCGTGTCAGTGAAGATGATTATCGATGTAAGTCTTTAGATTTTCATTGATTTTGCTGGCTTTGATCATTGTAGTACATGGACTGTATTTTAAAGCAAAAGCGCAAGGACTAAGCCCATTTACATACCATATCTATGTTTTTAATATTCGTCCAACATGTATTGAGGTTCTGGAGACAAGAGATTTCAGAAAATTTGAACATTCTATTGTTAAGCATTTAAATGAACTTTTACAATTCCTACATGTAGTAAGTAAATCAGTATTTGATCTATTTTATATCAAAATATTACATGTATGCATTGTATTTCTTAAACTAAATACTCTTGAACTGAAAAATGATAAAACTCTTTGCTCTCAACTTCCTTCAATTTTTTATCGCACAAAATTTGTTGTATGACTTTAAGAAAGCAAAAGACTAACCGTTTCTCTCGCCCAAAAAAAAATCTTTACTGAATATTACTTAATTTTGTTCATAAGGTACGTTGGCCGAATGGTAACAGGAATCATTATCGTTTTGGATTTGACGGAAAATTTGATGTTCAGCTTTGGTAAGGAGTATTTTTGCATTGTTCTAAGCATGGCCTTCGATGATCTGTTTGTTACTAGGGCATTTTAACAAAACATTTGTTTGCTATGAGATATACGACAGCCAGATACAATATATAGCATTCATTCTATTCAGAACAACCACAATAAATGAAATATATGGAGATAACGAACAGTATTCAAACTCAAAAATCCGTAAAAAAAAAAATACAAAATAGGAAAAGAGCATAAACGAACCTCCAAAATACATGTATTAGAGGTTGGATCATGTGACATGGCGATGTGAGCATCCCCTGCCGACCGGTCACACCCGCTGTGTGCTCCTTGTCATGAACGAGAAATAACGGAAAATCCGTCGTCCATTAAGTGTGTAAATAATGGACTAAAAGCTGGAATAAGAGACATCAGCCAGCATTTGACTTTATAATAAATTGTGATTGCTGACTAGGTCATTGTATCAACCTTAGAAGTTATGAAATGATCTGTTTTACAGTGAGCCATTCCCATCTGAAGTTAAAGACGCTTTGAATCGTCAGAATTTGATGTCTTCTGCTAGTAGTCAATTAATGAACCCACCGTCGCCGTCAAAACCAACAACAAATATAGGTAGTCAGTTGTGGTTATAATGTAAAGTTTTCATATATTGATAGAAATTAGTCTGTCATGATTACTTTTTTCAATTATGGGATTGAAATTGTTTAGATCTAAAGAAAGAAAAAGAGCCAGAAAAACAAAAAGCAGCTGAGGAAGAAAAGATGTCCCCCAAAGGCTTAAAACATGCTGGTGTCTCTCTGAATATTATGGATATGGCGCCCCCGGTAAAACACTCCGTTTGGTCAGATTTTGATTTCCCTGCTGATATCTCAAATAGCTTTTCAAACTTGAGAAACAGACGAAAACCTTCTGCCAAGGTTACAGGTACAATATTCAGAAATCCAAACAATGCAGGTAATACAAAACAGAAAAAAACATTCTGCTCTCAAAAATGTAAGGTTGACTTAAAACATTAAAAACAGATGATACAAACAAACTTATGTCAAAAAGTTTGAAAATAACAACTTGGGTCATGTTTAAATAAATAAGTTTCACCGTGTATTTGTTTTTTTTTATCTTTTATAGAAAATTTCACAAAAAAAAAAAAGATTTGAAGGGAAAGGTATTTGTATAAATTAATAAGAATGGTTTCACAAGGGCTTTTGAACATCACAGAAGGTTTATGATTTCTTTAAATATTCTAGAAATTTGTTATTTGTTTCATTTGCAATGAAATTGGGCCAAAAATATATACTAATCCAGGCATCCATTTTTTGTTTGTATTATCTCTCTTTAAATACAAATAAATTTGATTTATTATTTGATCACATATAAATATGTGATTTACCGTCCAAAAAGGCCAACATTAGTTAAAGTAAAATATATAGATATTAATTCCTGTAAGTTTTCATTTCAGGGGGAAATGAAAAGACAAATGATCAACAGGAAACAAATTCAAAAGATAGATTATTTGGAGGCACTGGTGCTTCAAACGATGTCTTGAATCCAGATGTTTCAAATTCAGGTCTATCAATGGGAGGCGCTTTACAAAAATTCGAAAACGAAGAAAGTGCTCCTGCAAATCCAAAAGTTAAATCTGAAGAGATTTTAAACAATCCTTCTGCAATATCAAACAATAGAATTTCTGTAAAGAGTAATACATCTTTAAAAATCGAGAAAGATATCGATGAAGGTGGCGAAATTTTATTGAAAGGTGTAGTAACTGAGTCTAATGATAAAAATAAGGACAGCTCGGTGTCAACGTCAAAACGTTTGGAAGACCACCATATAGATAATAAGCAAAAGACAAGTAGCTCGTCAAGCGTTCAAGATTCAGTCTCTGCAACAACGTGCTGGGAGTGGAAGGATTCATCTGGGCAGTGGAAACTTTATCCTGAGGATGTACAAGATAAATTGAGGGAAAACGTTTTGAAAAACCCAAAATCAACATCGCTTATATCTTTAGAAAATTCATGGTAAGGATATATGCTCAACAACAAACAAAGGAAACGCATAATTGTAACTCATCAAAGAAATTTTGATAAAGTATATGGAACAACTATTTTTTATCATTAAATACCTGTTACCTATTAAAAGTATACCATGGCTTTTTAAACCCCCAATGTTGAATTATTTCCTTTGATTATTGTTTATGAAAATAGTGTTTTGCATGATTTCTTTTAAATCGGGGGTCTATTTTCAATGAAATTTTGAATTTAGAGAAACAATTAACACTCCTATTAAAACCATATGTTTGCTTTGATTGCAATGTTAATGCTGCAATGTAAAGCCTGAATAAAGATGAACGCAATAAGGCTCTAACAATGATTCTAACAAAAATTAGAAGTTGTAACTGCATTTGGTGTACATCAAACGACTTTGCAGCAGTTAAACGCACGTCTCCACCAGCTATGAACACAGATGACGGACCTAGATCCTGTTGGCGGTAAACTACATCCTCAAAGGACTGTCAGATTCTCCATCAGCACCTGTGCAATCGTCTGGGAACTGCTTTACAAACTGCTGAAATCAGCATAAAATGCACAAAATGTTCTCAAAAGACTGAAGTGGTATTCGTGCACAACGTCCGTACACTAAAATCAACTTGCACTGAGTGGTCGCAAAGGACATGTGGATTGTTAAAGAAGATTAGCTCTAGAATTTGGAGGCGACGTCAATGATACAACTTAACTTGTCAATTTGAAAATTAGGACTTATTTGATATTTATCACAACTGAATCTAATATCACTTTTAAAAATTGGGGTTTAAACTGAAAACTTATCAGGTTTAATCTGAATATGCGTTTCTTTTTTTGCTGAGCATATTTTAATCACATTAATTATATTAAAGTGTATACATTGATATCATACAGTAGGAGATTCATGGCCTAATATAAGTGATCTTTTTGATGTTTTCTTTTAAGGTTTCAACAAGTATATAGAAATGAGAAATATTTGACTCTCAATTTTATTCGCAAAGTCTCTATTAATTGATTATTATTTGCTGAGTAAATATGATTAATGTTCAGTTTCAGAGTCGTGCCCTCTCAAGGCAAACATATCAACACAGAAAGCAAGGAAACATCAGAAATCAGGAGATTTGGTAATTAAACATGCATCAAATGTTCTCAAAATAATAGTATTTAAATTTTGAAGTATTATTTAGAAAAAAAGAAACGACACAATTTTTTTTACACTTACTAATTTTGTCTTACATTACCTTTAATCCGTTTGGGGAAAATTCTCAAAGGAAGACAAATTCTAATATTCTATTTGGCGGTTAACATTTGAGTACAGAATTTTAATGATTAAACGCAATATAAAATCTTTTAACATTAAATGTATTTTGACAAGTCAGAGATGAATATTGACAGCTTCATTTTTCTTGCACATTTAAGTATTTAAAGCCTGCCTGAAATTTTATATGAATTACAGATAATTACTGCATATCTCGTATATTACAATACGGAAAAAGCAGTATCAGTCTGGATTACTTTTTAGCTGACTGATTTTTTTTTTCCAGATCCTGATCAAGTGAAATGACAGAGAGAACCAAAATAAATTTGTAATATTAAAAAAAGATAGTAAATTTTTTATTCTTTATTGTTTCAAAATAAACTGATTATGGATTTAATTTAAACTTTACAAGTGCCATATTCATGCTTTGTTATTGACAGATTAAACATTAGCTATTGATTATTATTTATTCTCTTGTTTCATTTTTTTTATATTCGACCAGAGCCTGATAGATGGATTGCATAATTCGTGTGAACTTAAGAACACTTGTCTAGTATCTTTGTCATTCCATGTTACATTTGTGTTTTATTTATTTATCAGCTTGCACTATGTGCCATCTTTGAGATGTACAATGAATATGATATCTTTGCGTTTTGTTTAATATCTCTCTTTAATATAATATAAAACGATTCAGAAATGGTTAAAGGCATTTGCAAAAAGTGTCCATGTACTTAAATTAGTACAGGGAAGTACTCTGAGTTCATATTAGAAGGGTGCTGTCCTTGAGTTTTTGTTTCCCTACACTGTACGTCCAACAGTTCAGTGTCGTCACACACGATCTGTTAGCACAGCTAGATTATTTTATTTAACACATGCAGTATTGATTTTTTTTTTTCAAAAAAGATTCTCATAGACGCATACTTAGGGACGGTTATGTACAGGTTCCAGCTCGAGAAAGGGCTGTTCACATTCCACATAGAGCTCGAACCAGAGGTAAATAGGATCTAAAATTTCTAATTTATGTTTTTTTCTGACTTTTTCATTATCAATAAGCATTGTTTTAGAGTCACTTGAACAGATTGTAATAGTGAAAAAAATATTTCTGAGCTCAGTTCTTCTCTGTAGTATGTTTCCACTTTCATAAAAGCCAATGCTAGAAAGAGGAGAAATTCTTCCCAAAAGTGCGCAAAAATATTGCACCTTATATTGCACCTTTTTTGTAGCGTTATGGTCAAAGCCAAATATATAAAACCAATACGCTACAGAATTGAAGCTAATATTTTTATTGACGATAAGGAATTATTCTAGTTGTATACAACATTCATAGAATCAAATGTTTTGTAATAAAATAAACATGTTTTTATATTTAAACAGAGTTTTGACATGATGGAAGGTTCAACTTCCTCTCTGAAATACGGACAAGGCCTTATGCAAAAATTTGGAAAGCCAATGAACGGGGTCCAACCACCAGATTACGTGGTTTTCTGTTGTAACCAAGAATTCAGCGACGTTAGTTCAGAATACGTTTCCGCTTAACTTACTAACCCTAAAATATAGCACTGTCCTTTATATCTTTTTCTAAATGTTTTCTAGTGAGCATCTGAATTCTCTTTTTTTTCCACCAACATGACCAAGGTATGAAAAATTTTGAATGTAAATTTAATTAACAGAAAAACTTCAAAACACCAGTCGTATTTTCATTCATGTTTTGTTTGAAAAAATTCTCAAAAAGTGAATTCAGTGCCTTATCCATATATACCCTATGCTTGAAAGTGAAAACGTATTTCTTTTTCTAGGCCTTGCATGCATTATGTATAGAGAGAGTCAGGAATGCTGTATATAACAACCCTCAGTCAAGAATTAGTTTGAAAATATTTTTTCACAAACAAAATCAGGTAAGGGGATAAAAGTATTGGGCTATAGACAGTGTGCTTTCTATGGAATCTGATGTTAATGAAACAAGTGAAAGTGCAGAACCTAGTCTAAGAGACAGTGTATTTTCTATGGATGCAGAAGGCAAAAGTATTTTGGGTCTTGTAGGACATTTTGTCCTTTGTATTTAAGAAACACATAGAGCTGAACAAACATTTTGTCACATCAAATATAAATTTAAAGATAGGATTTTAGTGAACAAAGTGAAAATGCAGAGCCTTGGATATCCTATTGTTTATGCGTAATTTATCACGTTCATTTAACAGTCAGGTGGAAAATGCAAAAAGGTTATTGTCAAAAATAAAACTCAAATGAGTTATTTTCTTTGTCACTATGAGTTACCAATCTTTTCTACCCCTTATTAAAAGGGAAAAAAATCTGTTTGTAAAATAAACTTTACAAGTTATTTTTCCAATGACCTGTTTGCATATTATGGACCTGACTGTTTAAAGTCTTAGATTTGTTCCTATTATTTTCTAAAATTAATGTTTGTATGATTCCATGTCTAAGTAAAAGTTAAAACCAGACGCTGAGATTTTTGACATTTTTGTCTAGTGTGAAAGATAAGGTATTGGGCCAGAGGCACTGTGCATTGGTTATGATGATGTTAAACAGTTCAATGTTTGAAGAAGGCTTTATTTAAAAATCTTTTTACTTCATAAACTTTTTGTGTATATCGTAATATTTCTTCCGTATGTGTGCAATAATATGCAGTGATGATATAAATGATACAGAGCGTGTTATGGAGATACATGTAAATGATGGCATATGGAAAAACCCTGCAAAATCAGATTTCCATTTAATAAGTTTATTATCTTTTATTCATGTCTGGTGTTCTTCTTTTGATCATCATGTAGAGGAAACAGGTGATTGCGAGGAAGTTTTCCCAGAATTCCTGGAGTTTCTCTATACCTGAAAGGTAAAACTGAACGAGGAAAACGCCATTCTACAAAATCAGTCACAAATGTAAATATAAGTGATATGGTATCATTTTTTGAGTTTTATTGGGATGTAAAACGGCTTTATGAGATTTGATCACGTGACCAACCCGTTTTACATCCCAATAAAACTCAAAAAATGATATTACCTTATTTCTTAAAATGAAACAGTTTTGACTTTAACATTATTCTTAAGAATAAAAGGAGAGAGAAAAAGTTTGCTCTTATTCTTTTAAATACTGTTTTTTGAAAAAAAAAAAAAAAAAAAAAAAACAATCCCTATACTCACGGCAGCTGGATGAATCACACAATTATGATTTGGGAAAGATAAATTGCCAGAGGCAAGAAGGAACAGAAACACAAAAGTTGAGAAATGCATACACATTAACAATGTATCCCCCCTTTTCCCATCTTTCTGTAATAATTTTTTAACTTGTGTAAAAATAAGAATCGCAACGAAAATATCATGACTAAGAAAATTCCAGCCCTTTGTAAATATATTATGGGTTAAAAGTTTACGACAGAAGCAAGTGCCATATTAATTGAGCAGTCAATGTTATCATATGTCCAGTTTCTGGTTACAGGACTAATCCCCGGAATGACCATATGAAACATACATGTAGTCCTGACTCCCGCTGGAATAAGTTTTGTAACAGACTGGCTCTAGAGTAGGACTTCACTAAGTCTTGTGAAACTCTTGCATTAGATTCATTTTTACGAGGGACTTGGGTTACTCTTGGTAATAGTTTAATGTATAGAGTGCGATTTTCCCGGGACCACTCACAATAAATTCTAGTCATATTGGTAAACTGGTTTAATTTTTGATATTAAATTGATTAATATTTTTGAGGATAACTTTGAAAAGAAACAGAAAAAAAACAATTTTTACCATATATCTCTATTATAATTATCTTTACTTTTCATAAGAAGTGGGGGCTTTGGAAGGGGATTAAATAAATCCCATTTCGGCATAGTGACTTTGTCATTGAAATCCAATTAGCCCCACCCCCACCCAACCCTCCCTTCCGTTCAACACAAGAAATTTTCATTCTATGAAAGCCGGTTATCCCCTTTTCACCACGGATTTATATTTAAAGTGTTATTTTTTCATTGACGCCCACCCCTTTTGAAGCTTAAACACCCTCACACACTTTTTTAAAGCATGGTCAAAATCTCACAAAGTTAACGATACACATAATCTTGTTGTGAAAAAGTTAACACATCCAACCCAAAAAGATTTTTTAAAAAAAGGTTTTAGAAATTGGATAAATTTTGGGTTTTTTTTTTCAATTATGCTGTGAAAATTGTTTATAAATCTGTCTCGTTGTTCCCACTTTCAAAAGCATAAAGTTTTAATAATTCTTTCAATAAAAATATAATAACAGGGGATATTTTGCATGTACATGTATAAATGAAAAAAAATAGAATCATGAAAATTTTCTAAGAAAGATTACTGTATAACAATTCAAAACTTTATATAAATATATCTTTCAATATATATATATATATTATGCACATTTTCTTTTTTTCCCACTAAATTTATTGTGTGGCTTGGCCAAAACCAAACAGATAGCACCAGTTTTTAATGACAGGCATGGCAAGTATACACTGAAATAAAGAAAATTCAATTGGAGTTTCGGAAGAAAATAATTGTGAAATACCTATATTGCAAAAGCAGGGTCATTGATATATTTTTCATTGTATGTACTATTTGCATAATCCTACGTATATAAATAATGTTCATGTGGATAGGAAAACTTTGTGATAAGGAAATTTTAAAATGCTTAGCAAACGGAAAGCAGATTTCCCTAAATAACTGTAGGGGAATTTAACGTCTATTTATAGATTGAAAATTATCAGCAGGAATAATGGACTCACAGATTGAACATAGCAAGGTTCGTAAAATATAATATACATTAAAGACTTTCTGCTTAACACTAAATCATTCTTACTTTTTCTTAGTCTGATAACTTGTTTAACCACTCCTATTTCTCCCAAATGTCAAAAATGAAAATTAACTCTGATATTTAAAATGTTTACATCATTAAATCTACTTTCACTTTAACTTTAAGACTTTTAAAAATTGTTTCTAACAATGTTGAGCTTATGCAGTTGTCATATACACATATATGTGTATTGATATTGAGTCCAAACATATTTTATAATCAATTAAATCAATAAGCATGTACATGAATTTGTTCAGTAAGGAATTCGGATGATTATGTACGGATTTTAAATTCTGTGTATACTCCCTACAAATACAAAAATGTCTATTGGATTTGAGAAATGAAAGTAATATTTTTTTCCATTGCCTGACGTATCAAAGATAAAAATTGGTCGGAAAACGTCATCAATGCGCGCAGTTGGTAACTTTCATTACTATTTAGTATTTACGACCACGACCTAGTGAATGGAAGTAAAATATTTAACATATATTCGCTTAATTTAGACATTTTTCATGTATTTATAGATTCCACCAACTAAAATGAAATAAAAATCAAAAATGAAGATATAACATACTTTTACATAATATTTTTTTTGGATTTCTTTCTGAGAACTTGGCTACTTTATTAGCATTATTAACATTTATGTTTGACTTCAAATGGTGAAACTTTAATTTGTATGAAACAGAAATTAGAACTCTTTTCTTTTGTTGATAGGAAGTTGGGTCAGAAGATTTTCCAGATATGGAGGCAGTGATTGAGAAGGTAAGATGAAAATGTTCTATCAATCCCCAAGAGAGAGAGAGAGAGAGAGAGAGAGAGAGAGAGAGAGAGAGAGAGAGAGAGAGAGAGAGAGAGAGAAAACAATTGTTTATCACAAATCAATATAAAGAGTCCAAGGACAATTCATCAAAACTTTAAAGAGAGAAATTCGTGATAAGGAGAGATGAGAGCTATGTATAAATTAAAACGAATTTTGAAATTATATACAGTTGAACTTCGATATCTCGAACTCCGATATCTCAAATACCATGTATATATCGAAGTGACGTGGAAGTCCCAACCACTTAATCTATAAGAATCTCGAATCCCCGGTTATCTTTTTTTTTCTCAGCTGAAATGTTCGAAATAACGAAGTTTGTCTGTACATGCATTTGCAAAATTGTAAGAAAATAAAATCATCCAGTACTATGCATTTTCAGTTGAAGAACGTGAATGAGAAAATGGATTTAGTACAAAAAGAAAATATGTTCATCACTAAGAGACTAAATACAGAGGAAGAATGGAGGTAAACTATGTTCATATAATTTAATTCTACACATGTCTGGACTAGATAAAAAAAAGTTGTTCATGGAGCTTAACACTTACTTTTGATATAATTGTCAGTTATATTATAGACAATTATTTAGTTAATTTGAATCCCAAAAAAGATAAATGATTCTCTAGCTACTATTCACATTAGTTATCACTAACTTCGATCATTATTTTGCTGCAATTGTTTGTACTTGTATTGAAATGAATGAGTAATCAGTTAGGAACTGCTTTAATATCTGTTCTATTTCACAGTAAAGTATCCGAAAGCGACGATAATAAACTAGGTAAGACATTTAATTATTTGTTTCCTTTACCAAATGAGATCTAAACCTACACTACATGTTTCACGTTATTTTCCCATTTCATAGATACAATTTTAAGATAATGAAAAAGAATTAAACAAGAAAAAAAGTATAAACATTGTAAAATAAAATCCATAGTGTAACTATTAACAATTTGACTGTTATTATTAGAATTTGGTTCATTCTCTTTAGACAAGCTCTTAGCTCAGGTAGTAGAACTGTCTGAAACAGATTCCAGACAGAACAAAGAAATATCGGAGTTAATCACAGCAATTCTGACAACAAATGAAAACATCTCCAAACTGAATCAGTCTATTGGTCAACTCAGAGATGTCAATACGATGGAAGCTTCAGGGACTTCTGATGTTCTTCAACATACCACTGAAGATGATGATCAAAAAGAAGATATGGATGACAATGTGCAGAGCAGAACTGATGTTGATTTAAATCAGTCTGATTATTTTAGTGAGGAAATACCTGAAGAACAACCAAGAACATTATCTGAAAGTAGAGATGAGTCATCAAACAATTCTTTCGTGGAAGTAGCAGAAGATAAAACCGATGAAGAATTGAATACAAGTGAGAATACAAGTGAAGAAAAAACTGATGATCCTGACGTCAGTGGAAGCATTGGCGAGGAAGATGATTCTATTGAGGGAACGAAATCTGAACATTCCTCAGTGGAAGACCACAGTTCCGAACCTAAAGGACACATCGTGTTGGGAAGTCATGTTGAGGGTAATTCCGTCTCTCTTGAACCTGAAAACTCTGTGTCTGAATCAGTGAAGCGTTCTATGGACATTAATAGCAAGGAATCCGAACAACAAAGTCAAGAAAAAAGTAGTTCATTTCAAAGTGTAAGAGCAATGGAGGAGATACTGACTGGAGTGGAGAGTAGTAGGAAACTGAGAAGGAGGCGAACTCAGCGTGACTTTGACAACAGGCTTGTTGTTATGACTGAGGAATCGAAAAATATTGAACAAAAGTTAGGCACGACGACAAAGGATTTGCATAATGAAGAAAAGAAAACAGACAATAAGACTGAGTTTCCTAGTCAGGAAGGTAAATGTGTCATCATTGAATTTAAAGCTTTATCATGCATGTGTAATAACATCATGTAGCTTCATTTTAAAATATATCGGTTCTGAAACTATACACATAAAATGCATACGCACATGAATCCTTTTTACTAACAAATGTACACCTATACTTGTACATGTATATAAATGTTACTTATAGATCCAGTAATAAATTAAAGTCGCAATAAGTAGATACAAAATAACAGTCTTCTTGATTTTTTGTACGTATGTGTGTACACATACTTTGCCCTCAGTGCAGTTATGAATTCTTGATAGAATAATTACATTTTTTCAGATAAAAAGTTTGCATTGGTAAAGACCAGACGAGTTCCTACAGACCACTGGCTGGAAGAGGCACACATAGCGGGACAGAAACGTAAAACATTATCATATTTTCTCTTCAATGTATTTAGGGATCTTGAAGCTCTGCTGGTTAGAGGCCAAAAGAATTTCTTAGATAAAAGTTAGATTGCATTGAACGGGTATACCTGTTTGTTTTATTGTTCTACATAACCCTCTGAGAGGTTTTGTCAAATTTCACGAAAACCTGATGCAAGTGTTGAGTTAAGGGCAGATGATACAAACAATTTTTTTTCTTTGGGGAGACATGATATCATCTCTCAAGTTTAGAAAAGTGGATAATGCCTAGATTTTTTTCTACTACTAACTGGAAAATGAAATTGACTTGGAAAATTCAAGTAAAATTTCAATAAGATAACAAATATTGACAAATCACTCTCAGTAAAGGTTTGCAGATGAAAACAAATTTCAGAATATGTTACCTTCAAGTTGATGCTAAAGGTGCAATAAAAACTTTTTAAAAAAAAATATACCAAGCCAGGTGAATTTTATGAGAAAACAAAATGACAAAAAATAAGCAATATCACATAGGCTGATTTTTACCAATTTGCTTTTCCTAAATAAAATTCACCTGGCTTGGTATATTTTTCTAAAGTTTATATTACACGCTTAGCACCATGCTAACATGCATATTCTGAAATTTGTTTTCATCTGTAAACCTTTACGTACGGAGTGTGTTTTGTCCATATTTGTAATATTATTGAAATATTACTAATATTTCTAAGTCTATTTCATTTTCCAGTTCTTAGGAGAAAAAATTCTAAGAATTATCCACTTTTCTAAACATGTGGCATGATATGTCTCATATAGAACACATTAATCTCCATATTTTTTTATGTTGATGAATGGTATTGTCATGATTTTTAAAAGATATGATTACAGGTGGAATTGAAGATCATTCAAAATGAAATATGTTTCAGTTTCTATAATACAATAACATGTAGTTGATTAAACGACTATTAAAAATCAATTAAATAGAGAACCCACCTCAGCAAAACTTATCATTTCTTATGGTGTTATTGTGATTATATTTTTCAAAACTCACTGTAGCCTAGTTAACATACCGAGTTATACTGGAGGATTCCTATAATTCATTTAAAGGAATAATAACGATAAAAGTTTATTTTTGTCGTTCCCTTTGTCCCTCCAAATCTGTGCAATCTACCTTATAGATATCTATGATTTATTAGATAAGGATTTATTGTTTCAACATGGAAGTGGATTTGACACTATATTCATTCTGGATACATCTGCCAGCATGGAGGGTGATGGCATTAAACAACTCAAAGGAACAGTTACTGACATTCTTAATGGTAAAAAAAACATTTGCACTTTGGACTCTAAAAGTTTTGTTTTGAAAAAAAATACAGTTTAGATAAATGCCATCATGATCATTTTTTCTAAGACTTTTTTTCAGCATAAATGTATTTTTTAACTGATGAATGATAAATCTTGTTTACAGAATACGAAAGATTTTCTTCATTGGATCAAAATGTTGCTGTTATCACATTTGGAAAAGAAAATAAATTCCTTTGCTATTATTCCAGCCGATACTATGAGATAAAACAGTCTGTTGGTAAATGCGTTCTCCTTTCAAATTAATAATATTGGTGTTTTATTTTTTCAAGAAACAAAAAAGATTTTTTTAATTTAAACTGATACATGAAAATTTGAAGGAAAATAACAGAAGTGCATTCTATTTCAGAAAAATTAACATGCAATGGTCCGTCACCAATAGGTGCAGGTCTTTTACTATCGAAAGGTGCACTCAGTAAGTTTGTTGTAACTTCATATCTATACAAGTATATTGTTTATATAATTATAAAATGTATTATTAAAATGATAAATACTTTTAACACCGGTTGATAGTTGGAGTAAGCCGTGTGGGGAAATGGAACATCAGACCAAATATAATTCTTATTTCGGATGGCAGGACGACAGATATTCATTATCCCGAAGGCCCTGAGGACCCGGATGTATATGATAACGGGAGGGTATGTTGGATTTAAGATACTGATTTTAAAGAACATAACAAATTAAATCATCATTGGAAATATCCATTTCTTAAGTGGAATGTAAACTAAATATTGTGTGTCGGAAACGTACACCCATATAATACAGCGCAAAAACAACGAAAATTAAAAAACTGTGAAAAATAGGATTTTACAGTGTCATAAATTTGGACATATAAGAAATATATGGAATTATAAGTTAACTGTTCAAGCACTCAACGTAGATACGTGTACTCAATACTACTCTTTACAGATACATACCTGTTATAAATATTCAAAGATCTACTGATTTGAAGACGGGTGGAAAATTTAAATATTGGTGCAACTATTTAAATATATGTTACTTCAGTGTTCAGTATTTTAAAAGGGGATATTATCTTTTTATATATTTTTCGAACAGTTGGGTTGCTGATCTTTTAAATTGTGTTTATAAAATTTTGTATCCTATAGTGTGTATATGATTTATTTGTTTTATCATTCTTATGCACAAAATTCCAGCAGGTCAGCATCTTTATTATCAAGAATTGATAAGGGTATTTATCTAATATTGCATGTATGAAGCTTAGCAATATTTCGCCATCATAAATTTAAAATAGTAAAATTGATTGATAACGTCTATTACAGACACTTGCAGAATTAGGGAATATTGTCGATCATCTGGCAAATTTAGAGGTTCCAATTAAATGTGTTCCGGTCGGTGATCCAGACATGGTATGTTTTTTATCTCTAGTTTCATGTGAAGATAAGATAATGATCCAAAAACAAAATCTGGAATTTGAATTTAAAAAAACTTAGTATAAATGTAACAATTAGTTGTACACGTATTAATTATTGCTATATCAAATATTACATGTTTGTATACATTCACATTTTGCATATAAATAGCTATCATCCAGAAAACTATTATTAGGCTTTTTGACGTTTAATGAATTATTTCTAATGTCATGTTTCTAGTCGGTCCTTGAAATGATATCTGGTCTTTCCTTTGGTGGAAAAATCGTCCATTTGCATGAAACTAGACGGCTTGGGAGGTTACCACGCAACGTTGTAAGTCAATGTGTACTTCTTTCAAAGTTTTGATACATTTTTAAACCTTGTTTTTTACGTATTTATTTCATGGGTTTTGATCGGATTCAAAATGTAGTCTGCTGAAATTACAAATGTGAACGTCAAGCAACATTCTAATTGTTCTTTGACCAAAAGGCTCTATTCTCATATTATCTTTCTTTTCATGATAAATGTACGTGATTAAAGTCCTGTCTGTAAACCTCGTTCTAATCAACAAAAATACTTAAATGAATAAAAACCTCCATTCTTTAGACAACAATTAAGATGTATTCTATAAATATAATTTATGTTCTCCTTAATGAAACCTTGGGCCCAAAATGTATCAATCAAGGCATCCGGTTTTTCGTTTTTATTCTATATCCTTAAATAGTTTAAATTGTATATTATATATATTGCAGAAGCATATATTCGCTTCATTTTGGATCTTGAGAAAATGACATGAACTTACATTCAAGTTTTCCTTATTATCCCTCTTTTCAGCAAACACTTATTTCTAGTACACAGAAAGTGTAGAGTGCATAGAATTTGGCATAAAAAAAGGAGAGAAAAAAATGAAATTGTTTACAGACATTGCAGTTTTTTTAATTTATGAATTGCTTTATTAACAAAAGAAGATTTTTTGAAACTCAGATGCACGGTACAGAAATGAAGATTATTTTCTATTTTACAAAGAAGATGATAGAATAGAATCAATATTGTCAATAGACAATCGTATATATTTGGAAATAAAAGATCCAGAAGATCTAAACGTTAGAGTATCCTTAAAAAATCATAGACAGGTACATGCATGTAGTTTCTAATGGTTTGTAGAGAATTGCTGCAGAGTTGCATGCTATCTTAAGAAAACCCACAGAGATGGACAAACCAACATTTGAAGCTTTGTTACCTAGTATGGTGACGGCGACAGAACTAACTCAAGACGATACGGTTAGTAGTTAATAATATGTAATTATCCATATGTTCAGAAAATCACAGTGTGTTGGATATTTAAATATGTTGTTCTTTATTTGTTGTTTAACGTCATTGGAGAGAATCATTTTTCACTCATATGGAGACGCCACCGCTTGCCGGTGAAGGCTGTAAATTAATTTTTTTTTCTCTACTCGGCACTCAGGGTCATTTACAAGTAAGTATTTTTTTTCGTTTCAACACCTACTGCGACACGAGACCTGGGTTTATACAGTCTTATAAGAAAGTTTCCGCAGCCAACAGTGACTATAGAGCAGATACTCTAATTACAGCGCCACGCGGGCGACTAAATGCTTTTTTGCAATTAAATTGTTTAAAATTGTGAATTATTTTAAGATAAATCTAAGAATGATGAAGCTTTACATTCAGTAGTAACTAAATCAGACCAAATAGACCACATATTTATACATTGTATACAATATTTCATTTTTTTTAGTTTGACATAAATAAACCCAATCATTATATTATATAGCTTATTTATATATCTGTACTATTTCAACCAGGATGACATATATGAAATGGTTACTGGATCGCCAGAAGAATTTCAGCCAGTAGTTGACAAAGAGGAAAAAGAAAAAGACGAAGAATGCCAAGAGAGGGACCCTAACATGCCTCACCTTGGCACCCGAGTAAGGCGTGGTCCGGACTGGAAATGGGATGACCAGGATAGTCATCACCCAGGGACCGTGACAGGACACCCAAAACACAGTAGATTCCTGTTACTACTGTCCAAAATATATGCTTTTCACATGAACGTAGTGATTTATGCTATTGTGTGCTCTCTCCCGTCCTTTAATTTGATACATTGATTATAGGTCTTGCATAGACAATATTAATGATAAGTAGACAATTGATGGATTTATTGCAATCTGTTACAGTAATTTCTTTTGTTGATTGTTATTCTACAGCTGGTTGGATTTCTGTGGAATGGGATACAGGGAAGGGATATAAATACAGATATGGTGCAGAGGGATGCTATGATGTCGTAGTATGTGATGATCCTCGAGTATTGAATGATGAGCTGATAGCGGTCGGATGCTTGGTTTCTAGAGGTAAGAAATCTATACACAGTTCTTACCTGAATACGACAAAACTTCGTCTAAACAATGAAGATCTGATGGCTTGTGTGTTTTCTGCTTCTTTTCTCCTAGTATATGCTTAATAAATAAATCATTTCATGATAATTTCTTGCAAATAATCCATGTACAGGTATGAAGGCACACCTCACTACTTCTTTTACAATTATATTCAATGTTCTGTCTTCTTGATCTATATGCAATACTCACAGGGTGATATTGTCAAAAGGGGCTGTTAACTTCTCCTAGTCACTAAATACCACCTTTGCAATTTCTGGATGTCTTTTTTATCTTTTTAAACATGTTAAAGATTTGTATTATTTGTAGGATTTCGGAGATTGATCTCTGTTCGTTGATTCTACTTTTCATTACAGCTACTAGTATTATTGATTTATGTGTAAAACTTAGAAACAACTATTAATTGATAAGTGCTTAAAACTTTGCAATAAAAAGCAGACATTTAACATTGTGTTAACCACTTAGAATTTATTTTTGAAGGAATGGACTGGGAATGGGGGGACCAAGATGGAGGGGCAGGCAGTATAGGAGCTGTTTATCGTGTCAATGACAGTGCAATTATCCACGTAGGTTTTCAATGAGTTTCATGTTTTCAGGTTTTCAATGACATTTTCTTCATTCAAAAAGATGTAGACACTTGTCTTCTTTTCTAACAGATAATGATAAAAGATAAAGAATATATACTTAAATAACAGAATGTGTAAAGCCTTGTTAGAATGAGTATTTGCATTTTTTCATGTGTTTATTCCTTGATACTTGAAAAAAAGATACTTTTAGGTAGACTTTCCTTTTCTGGTGAATAAAGACAAGGCGTAACAGTAATATAAAAAGCGTGTTTTACGTATTTTTTATATGTGCATACATTTATTGGCATACTCTCAAAGAGAGTGTAAGTTGTTGCAAATTTATTTTGTCTTCTTATTAGGTGCGTTGGCCCAATGGTAGCAAGAGTAATTATCGTTTTGGATACGATGGAAAGTTTGATGTTCAACTTTGGTGAGATCTTAATTGATATCATCTTATGCAGGGCGATATCTTTAGATTTTTTCTGTATATTACCTAGCTAGTCTAGGTCATTTTAGAATATGTTTTCTGAGTATATGAATTGGAATAAAAAAAAAATAGAACATACAGTCAATGAATTCAGTACAAGTTAACATTTTTTAAAACAAATTTGTTTCTCTAGTGATCCATTCTCTTCGGAAGTGAAAGAAGCTTTAAAACGTCAGAATCTGATGTCTTCTGCTAGTAGTCAACTAAGGAACCCGCCTTCTCCGTCCAAAGCAACGTCAAATATCGGTAAGCTACTGCAGTTTTGATTAAGAAGCTTTTTTTTGAAAATGAATTTGGGTGACATAATTGGTATATTCATTCCTTACAACTACTTTTCAAGCTATTTAATTGTTTAATTTTTTTTAGATCTAAATAAAGGTAAAGATCCAGAAAAACAACATGTAGCTGAGGAAGAAAAGATGTCTCCTGAAGACTTAAAACAAGCTGGTGCCTCTCTGAACATTATGGATATGGCACCCCCTGCAAAACACTCTGTTTGGTCGGATTTTGATTTTCCTGCTGATATCTCAAATAGCCTTTCAAACAGGAGAAACAGACGAAAACCTTCAGCCAAGGTTACAGCTACAACAGTCAGAAATCCAATCAATACAGGTAATACAAAACAGGAAATTTTTCTGTTCAAAGAAATGCACGTTTGACCTTTTACATGAACTACAAATAAATTTTATTTTTGTATAAATACTGTACGAGTCGTATGTGATTTACCGACTCAAAAATGTAAACACATATTAAAATAAAAGATATATTAGGTATTTATTCCTATTTTCATTTTAGGGGGAAAAGAAAAGACAAATGATAGACAGGAAACAGATTTGAAAGATAGATTATTTGGAAGCACTGGTGCTTCAAAGGATGTTTCAAGTCCAGAGGTTTCAAATCCAGGTCTATCATCAAGAGTCGCCTCGCAAAAACGCGAAAACGAAGAAAGTGCACAGGCAGATCCAAAGGTTAAACCTGTAGACAGTGTTAATAATGCAACGAAAAAGTCATTTGCAAACAACCAAGTTTCTGTAATGAATCAAACGCCTTTAGAAAACGAGAAAGACATCAATGAGGGCGACATTTTATCAAAAAGTGAAGTAACTGAGTCTAACAATAAAAATAAAGACAGCTCAGTTTCCACTTCAAAACGTTTGGAAGACTACCATACAGATTATAAGCAGAAGACAAATAGGTATTCAAGCGTTCAAGGTTCAGTCTCCGCAACAACGTGTTGGGAGTGGAAGGATTCATCTGGACAGTGGAAACTTTATCCTGAGGATGTACAAGATAAATTGAGGAAAAACTTTATGAAAAACCCGAAATCAACAGTGCTTATATCTTTAGAAAATTCATGGTAAGGGTATATTTTATAAATATTGCATGTAGTTGAGTGTAACATTGAACATTTTCACCCCCCAAAAACCATTGTGATATTATCTAAATTTTCATTGTCCAATGTAAATTGATTCATTTCGAATGTTTTATGCTATCTTGAAATGTTTTCACACAAGAATGTACCACCCGTCGTCAAAAAAGAGAAATACTGGACTTTCAAGTGTTTTTTTATTAGCAATGTATTTGTAAAAATTTCAATACTATTTGCTGTATTATAAATATGATTTATGTTCAGTTTCAGAGTTGTGCTATCTAAGAGCAAACATATCAACACAGGAACTAAGGAAACATCAGAAATCAGGATATTTGGTAATTAAACATGCATCAAATAATAGTGCTTAAAATTTTGAAGTTTTATTGAAAAAAAGTTTCAAATTTATTTCATGAAACGACACAAATTTTCAACACTTACTAATTTTGTCTTTATAAATTTCATTATCTTTAATCCGTTTGGGGAAAATTCTCAAAGGAAGAAAAATTTTTCTTGCACGTTTAAGTATTGAAAACCTATGTGAAAGTTTATATGAATTACAGATAATTACTGCATATATATTATAATACGGAAAAAGCAGTATCAGTCTGGATTACTTTTAAGCTGACTGATTTTTTTTTCAGATCCTGATCAAGTAAAATGACAGAGAGAACCCAAATAAATTTGTCACAATAAGAAAAAAGATAGTGAATTTTCTCCTTCCAATTGTTTCAAAATAAAGTGATTATTTATTTTAACCCTTACAAGTGCCATTAACAGATTAAGCGTAGATATTAATTATGTATTTTCTTGTTTCATTCTTTTTATATTATTGACCAGAGCCTGATAGATCGATTGCATAATTCGTGTGAACTTACGAACACTTGTCTAGTATCGTTGTCATTCCATGTCACATTTGTAATTTATTTATTTATCAGATTGCACTATGTGCCATCGTTAAGATGTACAATAAATATGATATCTTTGCGTTTTGTTTAAAATCTCTCTTTAATATGATATAAAACAATGCAGAAATGGTTAAAGGCATTTCAATAAAGTGTTTGTAATGTACCATTTATGCAACAACGTTAAATTAGTACAGGGAAGTACTCTTTTGTTGATATTAGAAGGGCGCTGTCCCTGAGTTGTTTCCTTACATTATACGTCCAAAAATTCAGTGACGTCACACACGATCTGTTAGCATATCTGGATTATTTTATTCAACACATGCAGTATTGATTTAAAAAAAAAAGATCCCCAGAAAAGATAGTTAGGGATTTTCGTCCATGCGGGGCTTTGCAGGTGCAGAGACATCTTCCGTCTTCTCTTGTGTTGAATTTTTGTTTTAAAAACCATATTCTTTAAAGAATTCAGTGCATCATTGCATTTTTTCTGCCCCCTGATTTCTCAAAATTTGAACTGAATCATATATATATTACGCTAATTTTGTACATTACTGAATAAAAGAGAATCCAATCTGACTTTGTCTGGGATTTTTTCATTTTTTATGCGTAGTTATATAATGGAATACAATCTCCAAAGTAGCAATGTTTTGGGAAATTTTCGAAATTCAGTGCAATTCTCGGCAATTTTTCATTAAATATGAACGCATGCTTGATCATGATTCATATGTCCATCTTTCATTTAGAATATTGCTGCAATATGAAAGGGGGCAAAAATATGTAATACACCACATTTAGCTATTTGCTATTTTTTTGTGCAACATAAACTTCTTTTGTTTTGATCAGATTATGACGCAATTTTTTTAATGTAAAATACAGTATTTTTTAAAATAACGCCAAAATAAACTGAAAGTCAATATTACGCAATGGATGATGACCGTCGTGTTTTACTTTGAAAAATAGAATTAACTTATGGCTTGTATTTTTGAAAATAAATAAAAATTCTTAATTGATTAATCTTTTAATTTTGATTATATATAAATAAATATTTTTGCAGACGAAACAAGCTTTATTTTTGGGTACTCATATATGTTTAATTTTATACTGCGGAAGATATTTGTTGCTTGTTTGTATTTTGATACTGTAAACGTGGTGAGCTTTTTACGCCAAATCCTATTGTTGCGTCAACAAACCCGCGATCTACCTAAATTAATAATTTCATGCTTCTATGTCTGCCTTTTCAATTACATTTTTATTTCCTGATTGGTAAAAAAGAGATTTCTACGGAAAAACCCTTCTAATTGCCGATCACCTGAAAATGTGATTTATCAATTAGAACATTTTAATAAATTTTCAATTACCATTGCATATTGTCATAAGCACAGAAATTCAAATCTGAAGCACTCAGTTCTTACTAATTACTTTCAATTCAGCGTATCTTCCTTTGTTATTTATGTTTGTGTTTATCATTGGTGCATGGTCTGATTCCTGTACCCTGTCATTGTGAATGGGTTCATAGTATACTGTATTTGTAATTTTGCTTCCCGGTTTTTTGACAGCTTTATAAACAACAAGTACAGTTATCACCACAATCACAAACAAAATTAAAGGTACAAGGAAGACGATTAGTGTGGTGGATAGACTGCTTCTGGATTCGGGTGTAGAAAAAGTATCTGAACGATTGAGAATTGACTCTGAGGAATTTGTCTGAGGAAAGGTTACAACATTCTCCCGTATTATTCCTACTGCGAATATGTTACCTGAAACAAAAGCAAAAGATATTTCAAGTGCTATAAATATATGAAACATATACTAGTATGTAAATTTATATAACTTTAAATCACTTTTCATGAGCGAGAACTTTCATTCTGGCATATATTTGTATTATTAAAGATTATATACACTAAAAACAAAAAAAAAAAAAAATAAAAAAATAAAAAAAAAACAATAGCTCGAGAAAATTTTGACTCGCAAATAAATTGCAAATAGGCATCTCGCTAAAAATAAGGTGTCGCGAAAATAAAGTGGTCTGCAGAAGTTCATTGATGACTGTTTTTATACAGTTGAAAAGTATATTTTTGGAATGAAGCATATCAGAAAAATTACCAAAATATTTGCGCTTTGGGGGAAGGGATTTTGTTGTGAAAACTGAACTGATAGTTAAAGAATTCTCTTCCACTGGGAATATGTCCTTGGCCAAAACTGAAAACGCAAAGGAGAGCAAATTTTATTTAATGCTTAAATTAAAGAACACAAAAATGATAGAAAGGTAAAGTTTTATGGTAAATACGTGTACAATATAGCATCTTTCATGTAGCAGACGTTAAATCTCGTATGAATAAAACATTATACAAGAAGTTTTTATCAAGAAAAACACGTATTTTATTTTATGCATAATTAGAGTTAAAACGTATGCAAGAAAATCAACATTTGAAAATATCCCTACATATCTATATTTTAGTGTTGGCAACGAGTACCCGGTTAACCGGTTAACCGTCGAACGATGCCAGTATCGGTTAGTAAAATTGCTATTCGGTTACTCGGATAAAAATACATTTGTCATATTTAATACATGTACGTATGAAATAATTTTTATGTTATTTCTAAATGTATATTGACACATTTCCTTAATTTAATTATCGTTAGGCTAAACAAATTCCCGTTTCAAGTGACATTTAAAATCAAAATTCTTCGAAGATATGGGGGGGGGGGGTCTTCAAAAAAGCAAAAGAATGAAATTAATAATACATACAGAAACAATAATATTAAAAAACTCATCCGAGTAACCGGGTACTCGATCGGAAGATTAAGCGAGTAACCGGTTACTAAAAATCGTACGATTTGCCAACACTACTATATTTCGATCAAATGACGCCTATGCATGTATGATAGCTGTTAGTGCTACAACGATGACGCCAGACGGCAATATGTAAATCGGACTTATTCATACTTTAAACTAATCTTATGACATATCTTCACCTACCGCAGCCAAATGAAATGTTGCAGCTCTCCTTTTTACACAGACATCTTTGTTGGCAATGCTCCCCATAATAAGGATATGGACAGGGCATATCACATACTACTCCAGTGTATCCCACATTACATTCTATAACAATACTCATTTGTATGTTTGAAGATAATGTAAAATGGACAATTTTAATTAAATCTTATAATATTATTTTGAATTAAAATTTGAAATACTTTAAAAGATACTAAATGAGTTAAAACACATTTTGTGTTTAGATATACGAATGTAGCTTAGGTAAAGATCAGATGATGAAAAAGAAGTTTTGTACAATTTATTCAAAGGGCTACAGCCTTTAAGTTTACTTACTTATACAAGACCTTGTTGCTTCATTCCACTTTATATCCAAAACAACAACGGAATGATCTGGAAACGCATTTGAACAATGATTAGTGAATTTTAATTCTAAAATATGTCAAATTGTCTTTTTTTCTTACAGTTTATTTAAGGGGGATGTACAAGCCATATTGGATCTAGTCTGGTGTAAACTTAAGCAAATACCAAGAATGCGCTTAATACTCTACTAAACTAGCTCAAAGTTACTCAAAGTGCTAATGCACTACCTACCTACTGTTAGAGACCAAAATTAGTAAATAATTAAGTTTATTTTGTCTTAATTAGAAGAACATTAATCATGTTAGAACTGCGCAGCTACAGCATTCATGAGATGAAAAATGCATTGAAAATGGAGTTAGTTTGATTCATTGATAATATGGCTACAACCATTTGTTTCGTTTTTTTTCTTGTCATTATCCATAATTCTTGAAAATTTTATTTTTCATATGGGTGTCTTCCTGAGGCCATGTGTTTATTTCGTCCGCCATTCCTCTGTCACACAGAGTTCGAATTACAATGATTTTAGAATAAATGCGACCATAATAACATCAAGACAAGAAATTATAAGTAATAATAATTAGGTTATATTACTTACTACTTTTATTTGTTGCATCGCATCGTCTGATTAATGAAAAAACGCGATTTTAATCTCACTCCAGCAAATCGGGAAAAACAATTCTGTTTACAACTCGAAATTCCTCGTTAATATTATTCCACTAAGCACATGGTTGGCATGTGCATATATCTGCTGTGGATAGATCCGTTTATTACCATGATTATATTTAATTTTTATGGAACAAGTCTTGATAATTTGTTGGTTTCTTTAAAACTCAAGAAAAAAAAGATAAAAATGTCCTAAACATATGTGATTACGGTGGGTCTTTTTTCTGTGGCGATAGAAGTTATTTTCAAATGAGGCACTACAAGGAGGATGCTTAGCATTTAATTTGAAAATGTTAAACAATATGCAGTGCATGAAAAATAAATTGTAATTACATGTCTTACATTCGAAAAGTTGGTACATATGTCTATTTTGTTTAGAAGTTAGATAGAAAAAATAGGCAGTTAAAGGATTTCCTTCAGGCACCTCATATAAATAGCTTGAGTGTTTGCAATGACCAACACATTGTATGGAGTAATGTTTGGACATAAAAACGCATCATGTCGCATTATGTTGACTACTTTGTAAGCCCTCGCTCATTGAACATACGAAGCTTGATAAAATATAATGAGTTGTTTTTATGAAATTTAGAAGCGAGCACAATGTTTGCAAACAAAGGTCCATTGCACAGGCTATGTCTATCATCGCAAAAAAGTGAGTGCTAACCCCACCCACCCCCCCCCCCCGCCCCGAAAATCCTATGTTTTTTTTCAAAATAGTGTCAAAGATTAAAAAAAAATTACTAAGTATGTGATGGAACATGTACAAGCCTTATAACACCATTTGTTATAAAAATGTTTGGTTGCCCTCTCTCCCGATCTACTGCCTAAAAATGGCCCGACTCAATTTTTTTAACATCCAATTACAGGATTTTTTTTTTTTCTTCCGTCAACAAATATGTTTAAATTTAAAGGAATTTTTTTCTCACCTATAAATACGGGACCCAATAATTTTCCCTGAGTTGGGAGGACCACCAAACATCATTTTAAAAATGTATAAAATATTTATGTTGATTTTTTTCTTTACTCTGTAAAATTGTAATTTTGACAAATATGGGCAAATAGAAAAAAAAATATTCATTAAATCTCCTAACCCACTCTGAATGATTTTATTCCTTTTCAAATGTTGCTCCGCTGTAATGAAAATTGTAAATGTTTATTTGACAGAGTATATAGGGGGGGGGTGTGATCAAAAGTAAACGATATCTTAGGTATTTGATAGTTATATTATTGTTGAAATATTCAAGTATTTTTCAAAGTGTAAATTGGAGATCTTTGATAGCATATTGCTTAATTAAAAACAAACCCCTTTTCAAATTTGCTTTCACCGGGCAACATAACAAGTATCATATTCAACCATCTGCCTTCCTTCACTAAAACGGTCTATCCAATCATTGATTGAATTATTAGGAAGTCATTTGTCTTAATACACTATGAACAAATTCTTTTACGTTACTTCAAAGGCAGTTTTAAGATATACCATAATTATTTTAGTCGTTTGTTGAATGAGTTCCACGGAGATATAACCGGTAAAAATACACAAGTCGGTACTTCGTTTAATATTTTATTAACGATCCAAACTTGGTATTTACTACACGATCGGTATGTCGGCGTGGACAGTGCAAGGTCCAGTTTCCAACTGACGATCATGTACAAAACAACCAATTTATAACAATAATGAAAGAACAATTATAATGAAGAGTTACTCAAGGCATTAATGCATAATTAACATAATTGGAAATAATTAACAATTTAACTCAAGTACAGGTGGCATGAAATGTCTAGCGGTCATGGTCTATAATTATGTTATTTTAAGTACTAGATCAGAGAAAATAATTATCACTCAAAATATGTTCATTTCACACGGTCACAGAGACATGCAACCATTTTTCGTCACAAGTACCTGCATAATGACTTTATTTTCACATTGTGAGCAAATCTTTATTCGGCATATGCTATTTATACAACTTGAGTGTGCACCAAATTTGTTTCTAATCTAAATTGTGGTTTTGTAGATATAGAGATAGTTCGAGAACTTTTTGATCACCCCTCGATCGTACTAGTAGATACTAACACAAGGTTTTTCATATCGATTTTAGGTATTTAATTTCTTTGTGTTTCATTGGTGATAATTAAACTTGTGATAGATATTATAAGTTATCTGTGGCAAACTTACAAACTCTTAATTTTAAACTTTGATGGTGCTCATTTTTCCTTACCTGGAATCAAAAAGTTATTTCAATACGTACACTATTTAACAACTGTTCGATAATAATACTAAATATTTACATCTCCAATAAATTTCTCCTATGATTCTTTACAAAATAAAATGCAGTATATTTTCTCATGAACTACATTAGGTATGTATCACGAATTCGCATGAATATCTCCATTGTTACGTCATAATACCGCTCTTAACGTCAAAAAGTAAAAAAATATAAAGTGCACAGTTTTGCTTTAAAAATGACAGTTGAATGGCGTAAATTTATGGCAAGTCATCAGAAAAATAATGTAAATATAAGAAATGAATTTAATTTTTGAAGATTCATGAGGTATATGAACTACAACGCTTCACGCCGGCATATTTATCATGAAGCGCTAACGCGCTTCATGAAATATGCCGGCGTGAAGCGTCGTAGTTCATAACCTCATGAATCTTCAAAAATTAAATTCATTTCTTAAATAAATTACTTCAAGCCACACTATAACACAATTCCTCTTTTAAAAGTGTTCATATTATTTGAAATATTTTGCAACTGTAATTCTCTTCTACATTTAAAGATTGTTATGTCCCTCCATATTAAGAAGAGGTCTGGAAAACAAAATTCTGTGCTAAAAATAGACCACGTGCTGCTTTCAATGAACTACTTTCAGGGTTCTTTACACTCTTTTTGAAGACAACGATACCTTGTTTTGAACTTAAAATTATCATTTAAAAGTGCAAAATTTAGACATTTTCTCAACAAATGGTTGTAGAGAGAACATTAATGCACACTTTGCGTATTTTTTTGGATTTTTTAAGGCTCTGCTGAATTCTGTAGCTGCGCAGTTCTTAGGAGCATATCAAAAGCATTTTTCTGCAAAAGTATAGATTATATATGCACAACATGCATTCAGTTATGCATATTTATTGTATCTTTATCATAAGGGTTTAGAATTTGATCAAAATATAATGTACTTTAGCCATTTGAAGAAATGTTTACATTTTGTTCTCACTGCACTAAATATGGCCGTACATCCCCCTTAATTTAGTAGGTAATTTTGTTGGTTAAAACCCGCTAAGTTATTAATTGATTGTATTGATTATGACGTAATAGGTATCTGATTGTTTCTTACGTCATCAACTCATCATAACAATTTTTGTCTATATAAACCAGCTGTTTTGGGTTTAGACTTCAGTCGGCTGTGGTGAGCGACTCGGAGCACACAGCCTTCCCTGGTAAGGGAAAAGTGACCTAAGTCACTTTGGGGAACGATTCCGTATACTTCGGTTATAAGACGGTACCAAGTCTATGTATACGAAACCATTAAGGGGACCAAGTTAGTAGGAACGTCCTGTATTGACCATCGGTTGGTCACTTTTTTGTTAACCAAATAACGTTGTACCAACCAAGTTACAGTGTATCATTCTGTGTGTTTATAAGTGAACCATTTGATCGTCTTAATAAATGTTATAAACTTGTAACAAGTGTTATTCCTAAGAAACATTGTTTAAAGTGACCAAAAGTTGGCCATTACGTTAACCTATGAAGTGACCGAAAATTGGTCATTACGGCAACCAAAGAAGTGACCAAAAGTTGGTCATTACGTCAACCAAGGAAGGGACCAAATGTTGGTCATTACGTCAACCAAATAAGTGACCAAATGTTGGTCTTTACTTCTACAAATAAAGTGACAAAATTTTGGTTATTAACCTTTTTATAAACTGTAACCAACTGAACTATCAAACCTCGACCAAGTGACCAGAAAAACTAATAGCGGCCCACGAGTTTCATTTCACGATACCCTCGGTCTCATTACAATATATATAAATATATGTCATAAATGGTTAATTTAACATGTCTTTTCTAGTTTTTAGGCTAAAGTAAATAAAGTTACCTAAGTTGCATAGTTCTTTAACATTTTCAACATTAAAAAGTTGCAACAATTCAAAATCTGTTATATCACCTAAGCTTGCATAAGTAGGAAACCAGCGATTTAGTGGACATTCCCCATATTAACTATTAATTATGGAGTATGTAAATAATTATTCTCCTTGATGATTGCGACATATTTCAGGAGCTGAAAAAAAGTGTAAAATGGTGATTGACGATGACGTATTTATTAGTCTTTGTGTGTCGAATTCCTTATTCATATGTGTGTATTGTAAATATACTGCCCCTATACAGTATATTTATGCATTACTACTACCGATAAGTATAGTGTAAGATAAATAATTTATTTAAATACTTTTACCAAAAATCATCCGAGTATCCGGGTACTCGATCGGAAGATGAAGCGAGTAACCGGTTACTAAATATCGTCCGATTTGCCAACACTAGTTGTGATACTATTGAATGTTGGTAAAAAGTAAACAATCAATAAATTATATAATTTTGGATGAAAATCTTTGTAAAAGGTTTTATTTTAAGTAAAGATGGTAACAGTAAATTCACAGTTCAGTATTATAAATCTTGATTTATGAAATTCGAAAAATACATTTTCACAAAAAATCATCGAGAAAAAGAAGTTATTTAGTTCATAACTTTATGATGAATAATTGGTATTTCAGATGACATTAAAAAACTACACTGCGTTATCCCTGTGCATATTATATTTTTGGATTGATGATTTTGATCAATTTATATTACATGAAGCCAAGACATACCTCTTTCCACCTTTTACTTTGTAAATAAGTGATATTTTAAATGTTTATCTTAATGTATCTCTTTGTTATAATTAAATTATAAAGGTAAAATATGGAATCAAATGTTTCAACACCTTTTTATCTAACAGTTATAAATTATTATCCCAGCACATTGAAAGTTACCAGAGAAAGAAATTTCTAACCTTTTATCAATGTAACGGAAATGTGGAAGAGAGTAAGTTTTTCAAAAATATATAAAGTAATTCTACACACGTATTTCAATATATGACCTTTATATGTTTAAGCACAACACGAGGTAGAATATATCAGGAAATGGATAGAGGAAGATTCGGATTTTGTGGAAACTCACGGCTTCCCTGAATTTCTTCAGAAGGTAAGAGAGCAGCCACATGTGACGTTTGTTGGAGTTCCCGAATCCGGCAAATCCGCCACAGTTCAGCACATTGCTCTTCTACTCCAGCAAGAGGGATACGAAGTGGTACCTGTATTAGACTTTAGAGATCTTACCCAATAGTGTGATCCTAGTAACCCTCAGGTGTTTGTTATTAATATTGTAGTAGGTGTACTGGGTGTGCAAAAATCAAAGTTGGAATCCTTTTTAGAGTACGAGCAAAAACTTATAAAAGCGTCCTTTGAAAAAACAAAGGTTCTGATGACATGCAGAGAAACGCTTTTTAATCAATGCAACAAATCCTTCTTCACTAATGAACAAAATACCATTAAGCTTCACAACTCGGAGAATGAATTGAGTGAAGATGACCAGAGGAATATTCTTGAGAAACATGGATTAGACCGAGATTTGTTGTCCTCTGCAATGCTTACAGAATCCTCGCGAATGTTTCCTTTATTGTGTAAACTATATTCCAATGAAGCAAAGTTCCGAATCAATGGTGAACGCTTTTTTATCAGTCTCATCGAATGCATTGTCGAGGAATTTGACAAGATGCAACAACCAAACAATTTATTATATGCGACACTGGTGTTGTGCACACTAAAGAACAACATTTTGTCTGAAGACATTCTTAAAGATGTGAAAAATAGATGTTTTCAGGAAATGAAGCATAGGGTGTTAGAAAGTTGTGAAGTTAAAAGTTCAACAGATACATTTAAGTTTGTGAAAGCTTTCTTAGCGATGGAGGGGACATACACGAAATCTTGTGGTAGAGAGCTCACATTTATTCACGATTCTATCTTTGAAATAACTGCATATCACTTTGGTAGACAGTTTCTATACCTGATTTTAGAATACATGAGTAGTAGTTACATTGCAAACTGTGTCAAACTCTGGGAAACCAAAAAGGAGAAGAATATTGAAACAAATGACAAAAGTACGAGCCTGGAGTCAACTTGTGCAAGCAGTGATGAAAAGCCTGAAATAAAGGAAGGTATAGATCTGTGTATAAGGGTTTCTAAAAATCAGTATCCGATGTTCGCTCAAAGGTTGTACAGAGATATAGAGAATATGGAACTCTACGATGTGTTTATGAATAATGCTTGAAAGATAATCAGTTGTGTAAAGCATTTATTGATGTACTGGAGACAAAATCATACACAGAATTAAAATCACTTTTTCTAAGTAAACAAGAAAACGCTTCCAAAGTGCTGAGATGGGAAGTCAAAAGAAGTGGGAAAAAAGACAAAGGAATTAACGACTTTTATTATATAAAAGAGCTTTTACTTGGTTCACGACTGTTCGAATGATCAGATTACAACGCGAGAGTAATCAGTTGGATTATTGGCTATGGACATCACAAAATACTTAAGTACATCATACATCAAACCGAACTACACAAAGAGACATCATCTGCACTATTCGGAGATTTAAATTCTGACTTTGAACATTTTAATTTGAAACCAGGACAGGGAACAACTGGAATTTATTCGAATGACGTGTTAGATGATTTTGACTCTCTTGAAGATGGCTTCGTATCCTCGTATCAAAAAGAAAACATACCAAACTTTGTCATAGAACAAACCCGCCTACTTGTTCTCAATTGTTATGGGGGTGATGTGAATACTGTTAAGATCTTACTCAAACGTCGATTTAAGCAACTCAATCAACAGAATGCCAAATATCGACTCTCATACACCACTGGTAGCTTCATGTGTATTTGGACATGTGCCTGTTGCAAAAACGTTGATAGGGGTAGGAGCTGATATTAATAAAGAGGGCCATAATCATACACCACTGACAGCAGCATGCAGTGCTGGACATTTGAGTGTTGTGAAAGAACTGTGCAAAATGGGTGCAGATGTTAATTTGAAGGGTTATATGGACTTCGGTCATGAACCACCACTAATAGAAGCGTGCAAATATGGACATCCTAGAATTGTAAAAGAGCTGCTAAATGTTGGAGCTTCAATAAATCTAGAGTCTGCTTCAAATTCACTACTAATAGCTGCATGCTGGAATGGACATCTAAAGATAGTAAATATATTGCTGCAATCAGGGGTCAATTTCGACCAAATAACTGATTGCAATACCCGACTTATATCTGCATGTAGGATTGGTGAATTGGAGATAGTGAGGGAGTTTAAAAAGGCCGGGACTAACGTTAATTTACAGAGTAGAAATAACGCAGTGGATGCTTTGACAGTTGCCTGTGACCTTGGACATCTTTCTGTGGTAAAAGAGCTACTTAAGGCAGGAGCAATAGTTAATCATCAGAGGCATCATGGTACACCATTAAATGCTGCATGTCGTATGGGTCATTTCGAAGTAGCCGTTGAACTGCTTAGCGCTGGAGCCGATGTCAATTCATCAGCTTTTACCAGTACACCATTAAAATATGCATGTTCTTGTCGCGCTGCAAATTTACAATTGGTAAAAGAACTTATTAAAGCAAAAGCAGACGTCAATAAGCAAAATGATCATGAAAACACACCTTTATTATCCTCACTTTTCAATTACGATAAAACTTTAACAAAATACCTGATTGAGGCTGGAGCTAAAATTAATCAACACAATAAAGTATGGTATACACCACTGGCTGCTGCATGTGTTTTCGGAGATTTGAGCCTTGTGAAAGATCTTCTTGAAATGGGGGCTCTAGTTAATCCACTGCACATATGGTATAGTTATTATAACCTTGTAATACTGCAATGGTTTTCAGCAGCTTTTCAAGGGGAACATATCACTCAAGAGACAATATTACATTCCTTACAAAACGGACCGGGTGAATATCATAGAACACCACTGACAGTTGCATGTCTTTTTGGTAAAAGAACTGCTTCAAAATGGGGCTGATGTTAATCCAAAGCTTGTATTGCTTACTCCATTAAATGCTGCTTGTAAGTCTTTTCATACATGTATTGATGTGGTGAAGGAACTGCTTAAGTTTGGAGCAAATGTCAATTTCAATCCTTGGTATTGTTCTATACCAAAGGAATACAAAAAACCATTGACAGTTGCTTGTAAGAGTGGAAACTTGGAAATTGTAAAAGAGCTTTTGAATGCAAAGGCAGATGTTAATCCACAGGGTGTAAGTAATTCACCACTGGTAGCTTCATGTGCACGTGGATATGTCGATGTGGTGAGAGAATTGTTGCAAAACGGGGCTGATGCCAATCTTCCATGTAAATATAGCACTCCACTGATAGCTGCATGTAAAAGAGGACATTTGAAAGTAGTGAAGGAGCTCATACAGGCTGGAGTTAATGTAAATTCACATCATAAAAATGACATTCCACTGATATTATCATGTGAGGGTAGATATACGGATATAGTAAAGGAACTGATTGATGCAGGGGCTGATGTCGATGTTGAGAATGAAAAGGGAGAGACACCGCTGTATAAAATAGTTGATAACTATAACCCATCCATTGATGTTTTAAAAATGCTTATCGAAAGCGGTGCTGATTGTACAATTTGTTCCAGAAAAGGGATATCGCCTTTATACATTGCATTGATTAACAACAAGGTGACTATTATAAGGTTGTTAAAAAAGACAAAAAGTAAGGATCTGCAAATCAGAATAAATCTACATTTGTTTACAATCCTAAAGGACTTAAGACATGCAGATGTGGCTACTAATAGTAAGGATGATGTAGTGTTAACAAAGAAACTTGTCTGGCATATGAATAAAGATTTACATGTAAAATTAATTTTAGCTGACTGTGATGTATTAAAACATTTGCTATGCATTGGTCTCGATTCCAACCAAGATATTTCAATTTACGATGAACCAATTCTGTCGGACATCAAACCCGTACTATTCAGAATCATTGATGGCAATTTATTCTCTGATACCAAACACCTTAGGAAGATGCTCAATATTTTACTTGAGACCGGAGTAGATATTAATTTGAGGGTTAATTACACAGAATATAACTCTTTAGTGGATAGAAAGGGTGTATCCGCTTTAGAAAGAACAAGGAAACTGATGAGTGAAAACAATGACACCAGACGGGATATACATGCAAGCTTTCAGAGAAGGAAGTATCGAATGATTTTGAAAGAAATTAAGAAATACGTCAGAAGATACTCCATTTGATTTGATCTGCAAGTATTTAACCTCTGAATGGTAAATTCCCACTAACATTTAAATAATATCGGATCATCTATTTAAAAAAATAGTTTGGTTGACCTCTCCCGACCGACTAAAACTTTTTCCTTTTTAATCATCTAACACTGTCAAAAATTTTGGTGAAGTTTTCTGGAAAAGAAATTCCCATCTACCTACCGACCCAAAAATTGTAACCTGAGTCGGGAGAGGTCGAGGAAATATTATTTTTAAAAATGTTCTTGGATGACTATGATAAAGTCAGTTTATATGTCGTAATTAAAGATAAAGAACCTCTACATAATTGTAAATCGCGTATGTTACTACATTGCATTCAATCAAGTCAAAATAACCATGGCCATTTTTGATGTGCAGAAACGTAAATGTACATGTATGAATAACAATAACAGTTCTGTGTCATACGTATTATTTTGCTCAAGATAAGTGCTACAAATGATGTTCAACATTTCGATGTTAATTTTTAAAGAACATACATGACACTATTCAATTCAAGGTATGACTTTGAATAACAATCCATATATATATCCTCATTTAATTTATGCATAATTTCAGTACACATTATGTGCTTTCGAAGATTTTTTTTAGCATTTTTGCATTTACATGTTATGTAGTACGTATATTTTCAATATATCTGTATAATGCCATAAAATGAAATCAAACGTCATGATATATGTCCTCATTTAAGTTTCCTTTATTATCTTTTACGTGTATTTTTATCATTTATTTTAAAGAAAAAAAAAATAAAATTATGTTAAAACTTTCAGATATTGTTATTCTTTTCAGCATTAATATACACTCTGTAAGCGCCAACAACTTTACGATAGGGCTTGGAAATAACCTTTTTTATATAGATTTATTTTGCACCACATTGCCGTCTTGGTATAAAAATGGGTTATATTGCGTAGGAAATCTTACTCGTGCACTCAATTACCATGGAGAATGCAATAATATGTCTTGAAGGACATGGTATACAAAGGGTCTATAACCGACCACAATCTGAAATGATTCACTATGATCCTGCTGTTTTGAAGCAGTAGTCTTTTTTGTAAAAAAAAAAAAAAAGTGAACTCTTAATGATTTAAACTAATCTGAATTTATGCCATGTGGACGCTCCCACATAAATTTGATTTGTTAAAACCTGTAACCTGGCTTTCTCTGTTAATTTTCATGAAGACATCTTAGTCAATAGAACACAAAGGTAATTATGACAATTTATTGAAAAAGATGTTTTGTTCAAGGTCAAAATGTCTACAAAAACACAAACACAACCAAAAGCAATATTCATCAACTGTGACGTCATCACAAGTGACGTCACATGATTATAGTACTAAATATAAAATACAACTACATATTGAAAACAAAAAAAATGTGTAAAACACAATGCATTTCTATAAATAACGAGTACACAACCTTTGAAATAAAGCAAATGATATATAAAAAAATATCTAAAATGTATCAAAGTTAAATATTTATCTTACAAATGTAAAGAAGAGTGGTTTATATATGAAAGGGAAATGGGAGTAATAAAAACAGGAAACTTTCCATTATACTTCCTTCAGTAAAAAAAATCTCTTAAAATCCAGGCTTAACATTTTGTGACACTAAGAACAAAAAGAATTATTTTTCAAATCTATCGATAAATAAAGCTTATTTTATGGCAAAATTCAGAAAAGAATTGAAACCATCAACTTCCAATTGTGCGAAGAAAATATATATTGAGGTGCATTACAACATTAAATTAATTACAAATGAAGATTCCATGTTGTCAATACAATACAATTTTGTCTTTGCCAGTTCACATTATTCAACTACTATTATGTATTTATCAATCAACACAAATGTAAAACAAAAATCACAACAGTTTTACATTGAAAATGATTAAGTACATATGTTTGTGGCAAAATAATACAGACATGTTCAAATGATAAACAAGTCATCAGCAGCACAGATCTATAAAAACATTTGAGTTGGGGTCCTTGTTCAATAAGAATTCTCTCCTGCTTTGTGTATTATTATTTAAATTTTGTAAACAAAGGACCTCCCTCTAAAAGAAACATAAATACAGGTAACTATAATTCTAGGTCAAAGTTTTGATGATGTTACTAAAAATAGCACCACTAACCAGTCACAAAACACAAGGGATCTATGTTACACAATATAATCCTTGTATAAGTGACCTAAAAATGACAAATTTGATTTCATTCTCCTTAGTAATTTTTGTATTTACAACATATTTAAAGCGTAATAAAGATCCATGTTTTGCCGAAAAAACAAGGCTTTGAAAAAATACACAAAAATTGGTCTATTCATGAGAGATATACACTGCAGGTATATATGGCTAAGGTTTGACACATGGTTTTAAGAATTCTAAAAACACTTTGTTATTGATAATATCAGGATATCTTCAATGAAGGTTGGCTTTTTGGCTTAAAATGACAAAATGTTTCTTCATGATAAATATTTTTTACATTATCACAAATGTATATGTATGAAATGACTATCTCTTTCTTACAATGCAGGCACCAAAAAACAACAATGTTCTGGCCGTCTCTCTCACATTGACTTATCTAGACTAAAGTGAGGCGACGTGAGAATGAGGCCAATTCAGGTGGTTCATACTTCCACATTCTTTGTTATACAAGTCAAATGATCAGTTTAATATGGCATCTGTTGGCAAAGAAGAACATTGATATATTCTTCTACAGATTTACTACTGTATTTGTTGATTAATTAATGAGTGTGTTAATTAACAGAAATTTCACTTTCCTTTTTACTTCTTCAAGCAGTAACCACTCATATTTCACAGAGTTGGACTTTCCAATTTCGATCACATAGTGCTCTTATTTCACGTTCACTTAAAAATTTCCTTAATTTGAAAATTCACTTCACTACCTCAAGCCAAAAATGCTTGTTTAATTCCATTTTCAATGGAATTTGATTACTGATAAACTGACTTTTTCATTCCATTTTGACATTATTGAATTACTGTAAATCACTTTTTATTCGCGAGAACTTTATTTTCGCGTAATTACGCGAGACAGTGTGCTCGCGAAAATTTAATTCTCGCGTATAATAGTATTCCTAAAGATTATATAGAGCAGTAACCACGATTCGTGAAAATTTTGTCTCGCTAATCAAGAGACAATGACTATCTCGCGAAAATAAGGTGTCGCGAAAATTTAGTGATCTACAGTACTCCAAGTGGAGAGTTCCAAATAGATGCCCAAAGACGTTTATTTAACATCACTTTCTCCCACCAGTACAATTGTACAAGGGTGACACCTTAATCCACAAAATCTTGTAGTAGAATCTTCACCCAGGTTTTCCTGTATTATACTAAGAATATTTCGTTTCCTGGGATTGAAGAATTTTCTGGGTTTATATAACAGTAGACTACATTAGCTGACTAAGAACAAGGCTACACTTCAAAGTTCTGCTGAGTAATGGCGTTCAAGTCTTTCATTAAACAATCCAGGTTTGCCATTTCAGCAGAGAGTTCTTCTGTGCTCTCTGATTTCTGTGGGAAACAAAAACAAAACAAGCTACATGTAGTTTAAATACTACCTTAATTTCATCAATTTAATATACATGTCAAGGAACATTTCAAAGAACATCTGGGGAAAGTGTCCTTACAGAGGGCACTCTTAAAATTAATTTAAAACAATAATGCTGATTTCTGTCCAGTATGTAGATGTAATTGTACATGTAATTCTCTCCTAAAACTGAGGCAAACTTGAAATTTTTAACCTGATTATCTTTCTAATTTAACCCCTCCTTATTTTACCTGTATGTCTGGGTCAGCCCCTGCTTTCAGTACGACGTCTGGAGCCTTTGGTTTTATGACAGGTTTACTGTTATAATCTACCTAATTATCTGTCTATTTTACCTGAATGTCTGGGTCGGCCCCTGCCTTCAGTACGACGTCTGGAGCTTTTGGTTTTATGATGGGTTTGGTGGAGAATTTCTGGCATATTTTACCTGTATGTCTGGGTCGGCCCCTGCCTTCAGTACGACGTCTGGAGCTTTTGGTTTTATGACAGGTTTACTGTTATAATCTACCTAATTATCTGTCTATTTTACCTGTATGTCTGGGTCGGCCCCTGCCTTCAGTACGACGTCTGGAGCCTTTGGTTTTATGACAGGTTTACTGTTATAATCTACCTAATTATCTGTCTATTTTACCTGAATGTCTGGGTCGGCCCCTGCCTTCAGTACGACGTCTGGAGCTTTTGGTTTTATGATGGGTTTGGTGGAGAATTTCTGGCATATTTTACCTGTATGTCTGGGTCGGCCCCTGCCTTCAGTACGACGTCTGGAGCTTTTGGTTTTATGATGGGTTTGGTGGAGAATTTCTGCCATATTTTACCTGTATGTCTGGGTCGGCCCCTGCCTTCAGTACGACGTCTGGAGCCTTGGGTTTTATGACGGGTTTACTGTTATAATCTACCTAATTAACTGTCTATTTTACCTGTATGTCTGGGTCGGCCCCTGCTTTCAGTACAACGTCTGGAGCCTTGGGTTTTATGACAGGTTTACTGTTATAATCTACCTAATTATCTGTCTATTTTACCTGAATGTCTGGGTCGGCCCCTGCTTTCAGTACAACGTCTGGAGCTTTTGGTTTTATGACAGGTTTACTGTTATAATCTACCTAATTATCTGTCTATTTTACCTGAATGTCTGGGTCGGCCCCTGCTTTCAGTACGACGTCTGGAGCCTTTGGTTTTATGACAGGTTTACTGTTATATTCTACCTAATTATCTGTCTATTTTACCTGTATGTCTGGGTCGGCCCCTGCCTTCAGTACGACGTCTGGAGCTTTTGGTTTTATGACGGGTTTACCGTTATAATCTACCTAATTAACTGTCTATTTTACCTGTATGTCTGGGTCGGCCCCTGCTTTCAGTACAACGTCTGGAGCCTTTGGTTTTATGACAGGTTTACTGTTATAATCTACCTAATTATCTATTTCAGCTGTATGTCTGGGTCAGCCCCTGCTTTCAGTACGACGTCTGGAGCCTTTGGTTTTATGACAGGTTTACTGTTATAATCTACCTAATTATCTGTCTATTTTACCTGAATGTCTGGGTCGGCCCCTGCTTTCAGTACGACGTCTGGAGCCTTTGGTTTTATGACGGGTATGGCACGGGGTTTTACGGGTACAGCTGATAATGGTGGCCCTGCCTTCTTATATGGAGATTGCTGTGGTTTTACTATAACAGGAAAAGATAGTATATGTCAGGTATACAAATAAATATTTTTCATTCCAAGGAGTGTACTTTTGTCTCAGAAAAAAAGAGGGAACAACTTTAAACATACTTTAACAGTCTCACAAAAAATGGGCAACTCTGCTTGATACCAGTAGTTTCTTTAAATTTTCTACTTTTTCTTTCTACATCAATATGTTTAAAAATTATCCATTTATTAATGATTAAAATGAATTACTGTTGGGATATTTTGGTGTTTGAGGCATAATGCATTTGTTCAAATGAATTTATTTTGACACGTTTGCAAAGCTTGTGAAATATGTTTTGTATTCTTAATACCTGTTTTAAAAAGCTTTATTAAAAAACAATGTTTTTTACTTCATTTCATTTGCATGATTTGATTTTTCCTTGAGCTAATTTTTAAAATTCAAACACTGTTGGATCAATGTATGCACCTAAATATTTATTTGTACCTTCTACATATTTTATGGGTCATTTCTGTATCATTCACCTGTTGTAGTTTTGACTTCAAATGAGTTTTTTGCTAGATATTTTCCTACTCTTTTTGTTTTAAATTTCAGCCAATTACTTTAGACATAGATACATTTTCTTATTAATTTCTCTCTTGAATACATTTAAAACGACAAATTTCTGAAAAATCAACTGGGAAAAAACAAAACTAGGAGGTTCATTTTTACACATGCAGCAAAGCTATGGAAACTACATGCAATGATAATTTGGCCAACCACCTTTGAGCACAACATTGTGATAAAAAATAAAATACACAAAAAAAAAAAGAAGAAAATTCTATATATAAAAGAAATTTTTGATATAAGAAAAATACATCCATACTGGAATTTTTTTTACTTGAATCTATCAGAATTCATTTGGTGAAAGGTTACAATACATGTGTGTTTATAAATCTTATTAAGCAATGTTAAGCTCATTAATAATGAAGGCTAGCTAAATTCAATACATTCTATTTACATGTATATCATGCAAAAATGAAGACACAGGACAAATAACAAATCCCTGGAGATATTTGATCAGAAATCCTCGCATTTTACAAATCTTGAGGTTGTTTTTTAAAGCATTTTTTCCCTTCTTTTCTCATCCCTAGGAAGATTTGTTTACTAAAATGAGTTCAATCACAATATGGCTTCAAATTTAAACCTTGACTTCTCATTTGGGGCCATTGAGAAACAGAGCCTTTTGGATTTCAAAGACAATCATGGCATATTTTGGCTGGCCACTGGTTTTGTGATCAAAAATACAATTTTGGATTAAAAACCCTTGGAAAGCTACGATTTGTCATGACACATGACCCATTTTTAACATTTAATCTGAAAGACAGACTGTTAGAAAGGCAGCCTGCATTGGGTAGAAGCTAAACAGTCATGTTTTATACTAACTGCCATGAGATTCATTGTAGTACTCTGTTAATCTATCAGTAGAGGGTTTAAAAGGTTACTGGTTGGCATGGAATGCTTACTTCTCCTTTGCACCTGAACCCCCCTCCCCCCTCACTTTTTTTGTGTGAAATAGCTTAGAAAATGCCTATTTTGAATCTTACTATTTATTCAAGCTTGTATCTCTATAAAAGGTTTAGTTTACACCTCTCTCATCTTCCAGTGCTCTATCCTTGACTTGCCTTATGTTTAATAGAAATCCAGCTTGTCTATTTGAAAGTTCATGTACCTGACCTTTCACTTTGACATTTTTTACATGGCAACAGGGGGTTTCCCGTCTTACCTATCTGATGTTTTGGGGTGCTATGGTGATGAACCCCTGACAATGGTTTGGGGTAATTATGGGGGTTCGGGGATGTAAAGCTTCTCATTGGTCGATTCCCTCGGGGCAGACTTCGGTAACCCTCAAACTCGTGTTGTCCGGGTGCTATGACAGCCATAGGCTGACCTTGACCCAAGGAGTGACAGTCAGGGGGCCTCTGGCCTGAAAAGGGAGGGAGGGGTCAAAAGGTCAAAACTAAAAATAGCAAAACTACAATATCAAATAAAAGCAAGGAATTACAATACCATCAATAAAAAATAAAATGCACAACAGTTAAAGCTAAAATTTAAAAATGGTATTGATAAGATAAATGATAAGTAAATGAGAAAAGCATTTGAAAGGTAGAGGGCTGCAGATGATTGGATAATATGATGGGTTCACCCTAAGGTCACCAATAGGTGAAATTAAAATGTGTTTATATGTTAAGCTTGTGTTTCAGATATTGAGTAATGCAATGATTATTAAACTGTTATATATTGATTATAAATAATTCATAGGTTACAAAGAGCAAAAGCTATTTCTAGGCCAAAGATGTTACAGTAAATATTGTCAAAATAAAATACCCTGGAACGAAAAACCCATTTGATAATACAAGAGGGGGGAGGGGGGGAATTACAATTTGTTAATTCAGATAGAATGATTCAGTTAACTCTAATAGAACTAAACTAAACTGAATTATTTATTTTAAATCCATTAACTACTACTGAAGAAATGTTAATATTTACAGACAGACCGACAAAGGGAATACAATGTAGATATAGAGACTGACAACGGGAATATGTTACAGACAGACAGACAGACAGGGGGATACATTACAGACAGACAGAGGGATACATGCCATAGCCAATGGATCTACTGGAAAAGGAATGGTCGTCATGACAACTGTGTAAGCTGGAGCTATCGTCATCATCAAAAGCGGGACGTTTGTCTGCGAAGCAAAAATATCAGGAAATCGTCACAACAAAAAAATATCAGGAAATCGTCACAACAAAAAAATTAAATATAAACTGCTGGAACAAGGCTATAGAAAAAAAAAATAAGGAAAGAAGAAAAACATACAGATTTATACAAAACACTAAATAAACAGTTGTATAACAGGCTTAATTAGTTCAATCAATCTACATTGCATTTTATGCTTTGCAGTTGGAAAAATTTGCTGGGCACTTGTTGGGCACTTATTGTCAATTAAAAAAAATATGAAATCAAAAACTGAAAATTCTAACAACTTGCACACACAAACTACAGAAAGGAATTTCAAACTTTTTGAAAAAGTGTTTTATCAAATTACTCATAAAACTAAAATATAGTGTGCAATTTGTCAAGGAAAATGATTAAAATTCTACAACTTCATAGCAGAAAAAAAAAACAATGAATAGAGCAAATGGCTAATGGTTAATTAAAATTGACTCGAGTCTGTTGAAGGAGAACACCTCACTTCTTTATTTTGTAATTTTCTCAAAAGAATATTGAGAAATGAAATTCCTAGCTGATTCAGTACAATAAATTTACCAAACATTTGAAAATAAATATTTATTCAAAGTAAGCATGGTGATTGATAAAGAGTTATCTCCCTTGGCAGAGGATGTGTTCCACCTTAACTGAGCTGTATATAAGTTAATAGTGAGACACTTACATGCATACTCTACAGGAAATGCTTGAACTACAAAGAAAAGGAAACAAAACGTAAACCATGCAGCTCTACATAATAAATAGTAGAAAAAATTGTCAGAAGAAATCAGGCCTATTTCATTCCGGTTTTGTTTGAGGTTCAACCACTTAAGGTGGGACAAACCTGTAGCAATTTGTAGTTGTATTCCTACTCCTAAGGTTCTTTATTTGAAAGAGAAAAAAAATGTTCAACGAGTTCCAATTGTTTCACAAAATGCTTGTTTGAGCTTTTACCACTGTTAAAAGGAGTGTTCATAAATGTGTTGAATTGTGTGTAGACTGGGCTTACTCTCTGGGACATAACAAGAGAGGGAGTGGGACAGTGGGGGACCACAATCAGTATGTGTGTCTGAGGGGCAGGCATCTTCATTTTTGTGTGTGTAAGAAGAGTCTGTTCTCTTACTCTGGAGAGTATTTAAAAGGTTGAAGAAAGGGGCCTGGGAAATTTGTCACTCTAACACAAGGTGTTACTTAAACATGTCTAAGTTTGGCTTGCTCTCTAGTTATGTTTATGGCTATTATGATCTGACTAGATAAGTGAAGAGGAAGTTTACAACTTTTACTTGGGGTATTTTTACTAAAATGTGGGCAGAGTATGCTGTCTGGGACAATCTGAGGGTCTGGGAGGGGTAGAGGGGGGTCACACTTCACACTTACTTGGTGGGGGTTGAGGTAGATCCCCCGCATTGACCCTCGGTCCCCCTCCACTGGTGTACTGCATGTTGTACTGGGTCCGAGGGAATCCCGGCCGTGATAACATCCCCGCCTCACCGCGATCCATGTTCAGTGCTCCGTTAGGTAGAGCCGTCACCATGGCTATAGCTAGAAAAGAGAGCATTATATTAGTATTGTTTATTAGACTTTTGATACTGTTTCTATCCTATAGTCCTATATTTTTTTCTTACGTTCCCTGGGTGGTGGCTGAGCATCAACAGAGATCATGAGAGGTTTGGTGGCCTTGGGGCGGATTATCCCGGGGTTGGGTTGTCTGGGGGGCAGGAACCTCTCCCGCTCCTCATGATCAGATGGGGGATGATAATACATCTCATCTAGTAAACAAAACAAAGAAACATAGGTAATCAGAGATTACAGAGCTCACCTCAACGAATGTTGTCTTTGAGTAAGGCAAAGTCACACAATTAACCAACAAGAAGTGTACATTCCAAAAATGAAAATATTTAAGCAATTTTAATCTGATTTTGAAATAGACCTACATAAAAAATTTAAACTAGTTCTTCATGAAAATGTAATTAAAATCCAGCATCTGAAGCAAATTTGAGAATTTTCATCTCTTGATGCAACATTTGTGCAAGTTTGGTTTATACAATGTTATATAAGCCTTATACTTTTTTGGTAATAGACCTGCAACCATAACTTTTACATGGTCTATTAACTGAAAATGTATGTTGAATTCAGCATCCGATGCAAGTTCATTAGTGTGCATCCTAAGATGTATCATCCATGCAATTTTGCTCATTATAGGGCTCATAGTTAACTGGAAATGAAACATGCATCAAAAACTAACATTTTCACTCATCAACAAAAAGTAATTCAGATTCAGCATCCGAAGCAAGCCCGGTAGTATGCATCCTTAAATGTATCATCCATGCAAGTTTGGTCATTAAAGAACTCATAGTTACTTGGAAATGAATCATGCACCAAAAACTTTAACCTATTTACTCAACTGGAAAATGTAGGTCAGATACAGCATCCGAAGCAAGCCTGGTATCATGCATCCTTATATGTATAATCCATGCAAGTTTGGTCAACATAGGGCTTATAGTTACTTGGAAATAAAACCTGCACCAAAAACTGTAACCTGTTCACTCAACCAGAAAATTTAGGTCAGATTCAGCATCCGAAGAAAGCCCTGTAGTGTGCATCCTTAGATGTATCATCCATGCAAGTTTGGTCAACATAGGGTTTATAGTTACTTGGAAATGAAACCTGCACCAAAAACTTTAACTTGTTCACTCAACCGGAAAATGTAGGTCAGATTTAGCATCCGAAGCAAGCCTGGTAGTATGCATCCTTAGATATATCATCCATGCAAGTTTGGTCAACATAGGGCTTATAGTTACTTGGAAATGAAACCTGCACCAAAAACTTTAACCTGTTCACTCAACCAGAAAATGTAGGTCAGATTCAGCATCCGAAGCAAGCCTGGTAGTATGCATCCTTAGATGCATCATCCATGAAAGTTTGGTCAACATAGGGCATATAGTTACTTGGAAATGAAACCTTCACCAAAAACTGCACCAAAAATGTTAACCTGCTCCAAAAACATTAACCTGGTCATTCCTTTGCTGAAATTGCAGCATCTGAAACTTTGACTGGTACAATGAAACAACTAGAACCATCTTCCATGCATGTCTAATCAATATAGGACATAGAAGTACTTAAAAAGAAAACTGCTCCAAAAAACTTAACCTTAACCTGGGACGCCAACGCCGACACCGACGCCCACGCCGAGGGTATTACATAAGCTCCCCCAACTTCGTTGAGGTGAGCTAAAAATCTAAAATGTTTTAACATGGTTTAAACAAATTGAAAGATTGGTAACCTTTTATTTGTGATCTCTGTCCGTTACTTGAATTCTCTGTTCCTGTTGTCAAGAAACTTATTAAAATTTTCACTTGAATTAACTTTGATTTTAAGTCTTACTTCTCTCCTCATGGTAAGGTGGAAGATCATCCATCGACCTGTAATCGTTAGAACTCCGGCGCGTTGTGCTCATTGTCAAGGTCGACTCGCTTCTCTGACCTTTGTCAATGTTCTTCATCTCCATGTTGTCATGGATCCAGAGGTCAGGGGGTTTAAG